CTCATTAACACATTGTATAAATTTGGCCCCGATCTTTGCGGAAGTCAATAATCTTATTGATTTAATTACAAAGCTCGTAAAGATCACAAATATTTCACTATTTAAGGTTGCAGTTATTAAACACTTTTACAGAAAAATATTACTGGTTGATCAGTAAAAAATTACTGTTGCACAATATTTTTATTATTAGTGATTAATAATTTATAGTATTTGCAAAAAATAGGGTTGTTAGTATTTCAGATTGATTTAGTAATATTTTACATTAATAATTAGTCTAGTACCATTGATTAATACTGGAATTTGTGACTCCACAACATTTCTCGTATCGTATCGTATAATATATCATTTTTTGTACATCTTCAGGATACATTGTAAGCTCGTTTGGGATGTTTCATTTATTTGTCGAAAATTATAAATGTATTCTGGAAGTAACATCTGTATATTTTACAAAAATAATTTAAAACTTTTGATAACGAGAAAATAAACAGAAAATTTTCTCATGAATAGAACGAAGTTATTTCATAACTTAGATTTAGATTTAATGGAGAATGATCCAATACAATAATATTATTTCTTCGTAAGAAATTTGTGGCGCACTGAGCAGTATGTGCACGAGCACATTAAAATAAAGTTTTTTTCCATACCTTGCAAAGGCAATACAAGAGATATAGAATTTTGTCAATATAACGCAAAGAAGTAAGTTCTATGGTGGTGTTAACATTACAAGTTTTTTTCTACGACGGAAAACAGAAATTCTTGCTCTGCTCTCTGCTCAAACCATTACAGAGTTTCCAAAAGCTTTTATGCTTACCACGTGACGTCATTCCTACCTTTTCCCATATCGACGCCAAATTCTAGTACGAAAATCATTTCTTAAGGGTAAGATAAAATGTAATTCATCAGTGAATAAAACGCTTGTCCATTGTAGTCCATTGTAAATAAGTTTGTGCATATTCTAGACGAGCACGACAGTGATTTAGTGTTGGAACATGTACACGATTTCTGGATCTTAAATTAGCTTCATGCAGTCGTCTGATCACTAATATAAAATACTTGCAGAATAACGTATAGTGAATCATTCGAAAGTTGAGCGCTTACAACGTTTTTTGAACATCGCTCTGCAATTGTTTTTCGTAAAAAATATGTGACTTTGAATTTGACCTTTTTTAATTAGATGATTTTAAACGATCTTTTAATTTTGTTGTAAAGTGTATATTATATTATTTATTAGCCCCGTTTGTTATTATTTTTAAATTATAAGTATCAAAAAGTTCTTTTCATTTGATTTCTTTTAAAAGGAAGTACTTCATCCTTAAAATTGATATATTTATATATCAATATATTTATATTTATTATATCGTTACGATATTAAAAAATATAATATAATTTCTTTATATGTGCAGGAGTTAATTTCACAACAATGATATTTTATCAGAATATATTTTGTATTTTCAATTTTATGTTAAATTGCAGGAAATTTGAAAATTACGCTTCGTGAAGTGTTCACGAATAATGTTCTTCCCAACATTTTTATTCTGCCTCGTCGGCATTCCTTTCATACAATGCAAGCAGGTAATTTTAATTAATATATTTATTTATAAACAGGTTGAATATTCTAAAATAAAAAAAATATATATATTCATAGAGATTTGGGGATAATCAACGATTATATATATATATATATATTACATAAAAAAATAAAAAAATAATACGTAATATAAATAATGTATTGTAACATATATATAAATTGCATGATTTCGTATAGTAGCGCTGTGCAAAATGTCAGCTCGCCATTTTCATGTTTGAATGGACGTATTTTCAGTTGCATGAATACATGACGAAGGACGAAGTAATGTCTGTCTTTCATACACCGCATCATCTTGGTAAGTAATGTTGGATTTTCTTTTAGAAATAATAGTTTCCTGTTATTTTATAGCCGAATAACATGGGTATGTCGACTTTCTATATGTATCAGTTTTGGTGCCTCTAATGGTTTTCTCTGATATCGTTTTAATTTTTATATTAAATTTAATATTACGATTTATAATATTAATTCATTGACTTTCAGTACCAGAATATGAGGTAGTGCCAGTACTGCATCGTTCAGCGAAGAAAGAAGATTCGGAAGGAGGATCCGAAATACAGCTAACAGCATTTCGGAAAGATCTCAAAATGTATTTATTTCCTACAGAAGGTATTCTCGCCAGTAAAAATACACCTGTATGGACCGTCAAGGCTGATCCGAAATCACCTGAAGGATTGAAATATAATCAAATACCTAACGTAAGTTCGACTCACAATTAAATGAGAAACAGCATGCAAAGAAAAAGTGAAAAATGAAATTTGACCGGGATCACCTCGATCTGGGTGTAATATTGGTTAGCAATGTTTGTAATGTATATAAGAAACCAGAGAAGACATGTATTTCATTGAAAACCGATTATATTTATTAAGGAAAAGATACAATAAAAGTTTTGCATGTGATATTTTGAAAAAAATAGTCAATTATTTATTAATTTGCATTCATTGCAATAATACTCATAGGGATACTCCAATCAGTACAATTTTTGTACGCCTAAAGTCGATACGATAATACGAGGTAATATAGAAAGTACTGAAGCACTCATAGAAATACATCACATTACGATACTTACACATAATATGAATATGAGGGTTGCTACTTATATTTCTGGCCTAATAATGAAAAAACAAATATTTATGATCGAAATTGGTTTTATTGTTTTTCAAAATATTCTCCATGATGATCAATACACTTTTGCATGCGTTTGAACCAATTTTCGAAGCACTTTTTCCACTCCGATTGAGGTAACTGCAAAACATGCGTTTTGAATGCATCAACCGCTTCTTCGGGTGTCGAAAATCGTTGACCACGTAATTTATTTTTGATGTGCGGGAACAAAAAAAGGGTGCCAAATCAGGGCTGTACGGCGGATGACCCATCAATTCGATGTTTTGGCCGGTCAAAAATATCTTTGTTTGACCCGATGTGTGAGAGCTCGCATTGTCATGATGAAGAATGATTCGCCTCTTCTTCTGCTTTTCTCGAATTTCTTCGATAACTTCTGGCAAACAAATGGTCGTGTACCATTCAGAATTGACTGTCCTACGGTGCTCTAACGCCACTGTCGCCATGTGACCGGTAATGCCGAAGAAACCATTTGCTTCGATGTGCTTCTTCCGCGAACAACTTTAGTTGGATTTGACTCGTCTTGGAAGACCCATACAGTCGATTGCTGTTTTATTTCGGGCTCATATGCATAGATCCATGATTCGTCACCTGTGTAGATGTTATACACAGCCTTTGATGCACCTTGAACGTATTTTTTCAACATTTCCTTGCACCAATCAACACGAGTCTTCTTTTGAGCGTTTGTCAGATTATGCGGGATCCAACGCGAACAAATTTTTTTTAAGGACAAATGTTCATGCAATATTTTATTGATGCTTGTCATACTAATGCCCAAAGATGTCTCAATCTCACGGTATGTCACATGACGATCTTGCTTTATCAGTTCATAGCATCGATATTTTCTGGCACCGATTTTGGACGACCTTCACGGAATTCGTCCTGGAGCGAACGTCGGCCACGATTGAATTCGTTATACCAGTTTTTTACAGTGCTGTAGGATGGCGTTTTCTCGCTGTATAAAGAATTAAGTTCATCGATGCACTCTTGTCTTGATAATCCACGTCGAAAGTTATGAAAAATAATCGCACGAAAATGTTCACGAGTTAATTACATTTTTTGCCCGACATGAATTTTTCAATTCACTGTAAACAACACAAACTGCGCTCAAATGACAATGTGTTCTTATGTTCTTATGTTCAACAATGTCAAGTTTCCAATGACAACGTCAGATGGCGCCTGGCAACACTTACTGCTACCAAGGCCAGAAATATAAATAGTTACCTACGTAATTATATTTTATTTCTGATTACAGGCTATGAAATCCTTAGGAGTAACGTTCCAAGACGTACACGGATCGAGTGCAGTTTTACTATCTCCTACTCCCAACGGTCGAATACATGTGGTAAGTAACAAATTGTTTGAAATGCTCAATCTGGCTCTCAGGTTAGTGTCGTTCGTGGATTATTTTTGACGCTTCGTGAACATTTTAGTTTTTTTTTACTTCTTCAGAGAGAGAAACAATTTTGCTAAATATTTTGCTAAATATTTATTCGATTTTCGGTACGGAATCATGCATAGGTCCAATGATACTTGTTAAATAATACATTTTATATTTAAGTGTCGGTTAACATATTATAAATATTAAGTTTGTGTTAATTTTTGCCGTAATATTTGTCTTGCTTTTCAACATATTCATTTTGTGTTAAATTAACACAAAAATTAATACGGACCGTTTATGATATGCGAAATATGTTGAATTTAATATAAAATTCTGTACTTCATATAGAAAGTTTTTCAATAATATAATTTTCAGTAATTTTTTCATATTTTTGTAATGTTTTCAGCACCGGACACACTAGCGCGTTCACACGGAAGCGAATTGCTAAACAATTAAATATTCCAAATATTTCTATGCAAATTCGCGTATATGTGTATTTCATATTCATCTTCACAAATTGAAAATAACGATTATTTCAGGATGGAGTGCTTAACAATTCTTACGTTATCAAGTCCTTGCCGCAACGACTCCTGAAAGAGGTCATGTATGGGGGTCGTAAACTCTTCGAGCCGCATCATATCAAAAACGTAACGAACGACGACGATTTCGCTTACACACATCATCACGTAGTGTATAAGATACCGCCGTTAAAAGGAAATCAATACAAAGACTTCAGTAAGTGATACGGATGCTACGGTATAAGTTAGATTGGGGAGTGACGCATTACTTATAATGCCATTACTGTTAGTAATGGTAATGGTAACGCAGTTAATTTAGTTATTTTTTTAGTAACAGTAACGAATTTAATCGTTATTTTTATCGTTACTTTGTACGCATATAATACATAATATATGGAATGTGCACAAGCCTTAGAGAAAGTCTTAAAAACTTGGTGAAAAAGTAATGATTCATTCTTAAATAATAAAGCATTTCTAATGCACAACAAATAATGATAATGCATTATTTTTTTCAGTGGATAATGGTAACGAGTCACTTTTTAACACTGAGAAAAAATTGGTAGAACTAATGAAATTTTGCTTATTTTTTCAAGTACAACGCCCAGTCCATTGATCAAATTATCTAATCGCTTTATTAAAATATTAATTGAGTCAATAATTGCGATTTAGTCTGTAACTACCAATAAAATAAAATATCAATGCAACATATTGTTAATGCGTAATTCGTCCAGTAGATACAATATTTTTTTGAATATGGGTGATTGTTGATGTTGCTGATCTATTTCTTCTTTTTCAGTGTGACTTTTCCAACTTTGATTAGAATTTTGGAATCAGAGTTGCTATAAATTTATCATTTATCATGAGATTTCGTCTATCATGGGATACGATAAAGTGACATTTTTATATTTCAGAAATATCAGATCCTGTGAGCGATGGAGCAGAGCACAATGCGCCGGACATTATTTATCCCGAAATGCTGATAATAATTGATTCTAAGGAATACAAGTAGGTAGAAAAATAGCTTAATAGCAATAATAAAATATAAAATAGCAATAATTTAATAGCGTACTAAGTACAATGTAATTATTTTGTTAGCGATATTAGTTGGCTATTTTGCGTGTATCATGATATTTCTTTGATTCCGTCGTTAATTTGAAAATTAATTTATGTTATGTTATCGTGCATAATTATTTCTTTGAAAATCTACGATATAAACGTTCTCTGATAATGATCTTCTTCAGTATTGTCAGAATGATGAATCATATAAGTTATAAGAATGTATTATTTTATTACAGAATACTTGGCGGGAACATCGAGCAAGCCGTAAAATATCTCGTCGCATTTTGGAACGGAGTCGACTTGAGATATCGTTTACTAAACACGCCCAGAATATTATTCAATATCGCAGGAATAGTTATAGCTTTGGTATGTTTCATTTTAATTCAATATATTTGCTCACCCACACTCGCGTGTACACTGACTTTCAAAATGGCTTGAACACTTCTTTCTTGATGCAGTTTGGAACGATGATGTAATGAAAGAACTTATTTTTCGGAAACAAGTTTTATCATTGGACTATTAGTCCCGAACTGCATCGGAAAAAAATCTGTAAACACACATACACATAGAAGTGCTTTCCATTTCTTCACTATATTTCATGCGCTAATTATGCGTAACGGATACCTTGTAGTTTATGCATATAATAATCATGGATAATTTAAAGTTAACCGAATCGCAAAAGTGCTCAGTAATATTATTATTCGTACGAGTAATAAAATTACTGAACAATACTAATTCATCACTGGCTAATTTATCATAGGCCTTAATATTTTTCTGTAAGGGTGGTATATTATGTCACTATGTAACGGCGAACTACTAAACAAATGATTCCTTACGTAATTACTAGAATACGTGTCATCTAATAGAAGAGATATTAAGAGGGGCCATAATACTATCTTCTTCTTTATTATAATAAAAAATTCGATATATTGTTTTCTAATTCAGGATGACGATGCACTTCCGTGTTTGGAGAATAGTCGCGTCGAAGATACAAAAGTCGATTCAGATCTCGCTTTACGCTGTACGGCGGATTATTTGTATCGTGAAGAAAGATTTCCGACTCATTTTTACGATATGGCGATCGTCATGACGCAGTAAGCATTTGTATTGCTTTTTGCTTGTTCTTTGCTGCTTAATACGTGCGTATATTTAATACATACTCGTATTATAATATACACAATTTTAATCTACATATAACTTCAGATTGGACATGTGCAATATGTTAACTAATGACTTCTGCGATCCATCTACTTTGGGTAAGTCTATTGAGATACCGTTGAGTGTAACTCCATATTTGGTATATTTCGATAAGTGCCCAGTAAGCAAATTTAGTAGCAAATTGTCGCCAAATTAGCATCGAATTCGCTCAAAATTTGATGGTATATCTGGTGCCATTTATGTTTGCAATAAGCTCGTTTTTTGTTAACAAAGCTTACTACATAACTTGACGGCAAATTGGTACCAACAACCGAGCAAGATATGTGCGGCGCAGTTAGACGCCAAATTGATGCCAAAGTCCGAACAAAATCTGCGCGGCGTAGTTTGACACTAAAAACCGAGCAAGACCTGTTATTTTAATTAAAAACGAACGATGCAAAGGACTTATCTTAATATTTTGATGACGCTAACGCTGAATTCAAACTCCCGCAATTCTGCAATACTCGAGAAATCTGGAAACACTAAGTCCGCTTAATCTCACTGTTTACTCTGTGAGAATTTGAGAGAAAATTATACCGGGATTGCGGTGTTTGGGCCGGGAATCAAACTTCTCACTCACCAAGCGCTACCACTTAAATAAGTTTGATGCCAGAAAGGCAACAAATCAGAATTTGTTCTATCTGATTATATTGTCAAACTGCTGCCAGAAATGACAGAATATGCAGACAGGCAATGTGAGCAGATTGGTGGTGGCAAAAACCGAGGAGATCGTGCAACGCACAATTTGGTGGCAGGGTTCGTGGTGTGGCTTCTGCTGCCAACCTGCTCGGATTACCTATCAGCAAATTCAGTCGCAAAAATACGAGTTAAATGTGGACACAGATGGCTACTCAGCATGATAAATTCTTCAAGTATTTCCAAAGTTTTCCTTTTCCCTGAATTGTACTTCTTTAGGAATTCGTAGAAGAATACTATAAGAATGGGAAGTCCGGGAAGTTATGTGAACCATGATTTCTAACTTCTTGGAGTATTTATATAGAATTACTTCATAACAACAGATGTATACTTAATAAATTCAAAAGAAACAGTGTTTATGAAAAAAAAAAAGGAATGCAAAATATTCAATATACACCAGCTCTGAAAATAACGTTACATCAAAATTTTAATTTAACACCCAATAATTTAAATATTACATATAACGTGTGTTATATATAACATTTATATTGTTGAGTAGAAAATTATAATTAAAATTATAATTATATCGATGTAACGTTACTGTATCAGTTGATGTTAGGTGGGAAACAGTTCTTTTTCAACTGAAATAATTAAAATATATTCAGTCTTCAATAAAAAAAAAAAGGAATCAAAAATTATATAAGAATCATCTAGAGTAAAAGCCATGGGAAAAACTTCAGAACATTAATAGGAAGAGACGACAGGAGGCTGCAGGAAAAAGTGAAACTGTATAGACGCCAGGATAGCGAAATTGCGCAACTCTCGAAGCTCGTTCTCCGAACAGAAAAAATTACACAGTACGCGGCCACACTTTTAGATTATAAAGTAGTAATTTGTATAATGAGCCTAGTTTAATCATATTATCATGATTCAATGAAACATCAATGGTGCCATTTCTTTTTTTACTACATCGAGATATCATTTATTTGTGGAAAAAAATCCAATTTTTATGATTGTTAATTAACACACAAAACACTAAAAGTAACACAAGTATCTGCTGAACGCAATCACAAGAAGTAATTGTAACAAAAAAGTCCTTCATGAGCGCGAGTATGATGTAGCAGACAGTGCATGGTTTGCGACACAAGAGATTCCCCGGCAGAACCGGAAAAATTTGTATACATTCGTGTCTCTTCTGGACGGTGTCTGGTAAGTCACCAGAGTTGTATCTGCTCACAGAACCTTTCGAAAAATATACTGTTCGGCGTAGATCAACTGTAGATCTCATATGTCTGTATATAATCAATATGCGCACTACAAGCATATACGAGTGAGAGGAAATATAGGCCTAACGTAAGAAGAAGAAGAAGAAATCCCTCACAAATTCTCAAAATATTCAACGTATTGAGTCGCGAAATATTTGTTATAATGAATTTGGCGTTAAACTGGCGCCGCGCAGATCTTACTCGGGTTTTGGTATCAATTTGGAATTTAACCGTCGTGCAGATCTTCTCCGGTTTTTTGACATCAATTTGCTCACACATTATGTTAATATTAGCTTAGGCAGATTTAGCTGACTGGGTACGTTTGTTGGAGGAATAAGAAATGCTATTTCTTATTAGATTAGAAATGAAATATATAATTTTGCAATGGTAAATTCATTATTCAGGTTATGCATACGTTGCTGGCGCGTGCGATAGAAACGTAACGAAGGAATCATCTGAGGCAGTGGGGATTGTTGAGGATAACGGTGGCTTTAGCGGTATTATCCCTACGGCTCACGAGATTGGTCATTTGTAAGTTTACACATTTCAAGAAAGACCAGAAATAATACTTATAGAACGTATTTGTCATTCGTGTCATAAACGAAATTTTGTCAGAGATAAGAACAGAGAAGAAATTCATTTAGAAAGTAATAAAACTACTGAAAACAGTAATTCATCACTGGACAATTTGAGCCGTTTATTTTGAAAGTGGCCTAAGTCCATTTATACTTAAATTGAGATATTTAAGGGTTTGTGTTTCAATGCAATTAAAAATATACGTACAGGATACTAATGAGTCATACTGCTTAAGTCTATCTAAAGGAGTTAAATTTATAGTTCCTATTAAAATAATGACAATTATTAAGTGAATAATATGCGTTTTCTTACCAAGAATGGAGTTAGGCCACTTTCAAAATTAACAACCAGATTCCTTATAAAATTTGAAGGAGCCCAAGTCCATTCAACATAATTTAAGATGCTTTAAATTGAAAAAAACAATACTCAATTTATTTTATATATCTTTACAACACTTCAAAAACATAATTTATGCGATTCAAAACATTTTTTAACTACATAAATTACAAAACAATTTACTGCTCATCTACATTTTGTGTGTGTGAAAGGGATTTGAAGAAATCATGATGTTCCGGTGGTATATATCGTAGTAGGTCCATTATGTCCTTGAATTTTGCTGTTGTAATTTGTCTGATATTTTTATACACTGGTGTCAATGCAATATTTTCGAACTATCTTGGTCTACCCCGACGTGGTAATAAATCCAAGACTTTAAAATTTTCATTCTCATTCATTGATGTCTTATAGAAAATTTTATACGGTTCATTTCTGACAAAACGCATCCAACATATTTTTAACCAGTTTATTAATTCTCCGTTAGAATTCTTTACCCTTTTAAAAATTGCGTCTTCTAATAATTTTGTTGATACAAAATCTTCTTGTTTCATTTCATTTACAATAACCTTCATTACCTTTATTATCGTTATTACCTTTATTACCGTTATATAACCTTTATTCCCGTTATTACCTTTCCGGCACTTTTTGATAATATAATAATCTTGGGGGACAAACAGTAAATTATTTTTTTTAATGACATTTCTACTACGCCAAAATCTCTATCATTTGGTAAAAACGAATGTCCTGATATTAAGAATTTGTGATCTATGATTTCCACATTATTTTCAACAGTTTGGACAATTTTTAGCCACATTAAAGCTACTTTAATTTCTATTTTGTCTTACACACATGTCACTGTAAGCTATAATGTGTCTTTCACTTCTTAAATTTTTAACATGTTTTAGGATGCATGAAGCTATTTCTTCAGCACCTCTCGATGCAATAGTTTCATCCCAAACGTACATATGATCATTATCGTTATGAAAATTGTGAATATCAATCTACCCGAAAATTTATATACAATCTATTAACATATAGTACTATAGAATACAAGCCAAAAATTAGACCTGCTGGCGCCATTTCTATTTCAGGCCGGAAATTTTTCACCCCACCCTCGTATTGTAATGTTACTTATTAAGTAATGATAATAGTAACGTCTTTCTCAATGGATAATGAGTAATAGTAACTAGTTACTTTTTAAAAGTAATTTTTCTATTATATGACAAATGAATGAATACAACACAACATAAGAATCGTCTAATAACGATAATGTATTCCTATCATAGGATAGGAGCTCGTCATGACGGCAACCCGAACGGCGCTGGAGAATGCGGAGCATATGACGGCTTCATCATGACTAACGGACTGATGTTGCACGAAAATGGGTTTGAATGGTCCTCGTGCAGTATAGATGCCTTCTATAGGTTTATCAAGTACGTATAGTACAATCTGCGGTGATTTGGTATGATTTAGTTCATATCGTATTTTGTACAATATTTCAAATAGAGATTTCCCGTTTCATGAGATACACGAGAAGTGGAATTTAACGTAAAAAGTGAAACTAACGGGCAAAGAGTCTACTCGGATGTGCAATACCAAGAAAAAAGGATATATTAAAATCTCTCTTCTAGAAAAGTATTATTGGCTAATTACACTGAAAGAAAAATGTATTCAATGAAAAAAAAATTATTTGTTTTGAATAAATTATGTGGTTGAATGATACCAATAGCCTCATTTATTTGAATTAAATAAAAATATTATTCAGAATGAAATATTCTTTGCTCAAAAGTAATGAATTATTTATTAGATATACATAAAATAAATTATATTTAATTAATATTATCAGTATTATTATATAATTAATTTATTTGATATACGTAAAATAAATTATAAAAAAATATTTACTTATTTAACTATTTTGTTTATTACTTTTAAATATTACATGACTAAAATTGAGGAACTATTTACGAAATTTGAATAAAAAATTATTCAATTTAGACAATTTATAAATTAAATCATAAGAAACGCTTGTTACATTAATCACATATTAACTTATATTGAATTAATCGCTTTATGAAACGAGTGTTTCACTCACTCATATATTTCGAGTGAATTAAATATTTACTTAGAATTCAACATTTAATTGAGTCAAAATGAGACAGCAATATTTTCTTTCAAATTAATGTTTGTTTAATTATATATAAAAATAAGATTCTTTTCAATAAATGTTTCATAACATTATTATATATTTTTTAAAATTTAATATATTAGTTATTCAAGACCATTAAAATCAGCTTAAAATATATTTAATTGATTGATTTCTTCTTATATATTAAATTTCAAATCGAATAAAATGTACAAACAAATATTTTCTACATTTCACCTTGTGTATATCAAATTTAATCATTAATTCATTACGTTTTAGCAGACAGAATTTCATTCTGAACAACACTTTAATTTTATTCCAGATAATTGGCCATTGGTACCATTTAACCAAATAATGTAGTCAAAACAAGCTATTTTTTATTGTATGTACATTAGACTACTGCCTCTTTGCGTCAAAAGAAAACCGTTACAGCTGATCGCTACCAACAACAATTATGCCGATTGAGTGACGAGTTGATGTAAAAAAGACCATCCAACAATCAATACAAAGTCATTCTTTTGCATGATAACGCCGGACCGCATGTTGCGAAAAGCGTGAAGCAGATAGTTTTCTAGCTTAAAGCCCAAAAGCACGCTTACGAAGCTAATCTTAGGAATTATAACATCTGATAGCGTTGGAAATACTTTTCGTTAAAAATTACTTTACAACTTAGTGTTTAGAGTAAAAAGCTAAAGGCCTATTACACCTATTTTATAGATCCAGACAGTTGTAAACTTAGTTTAATTCTTATTTGTTTGTTACTTGTTTGCTTACTTTTCATTTTTATTATATTTTGAATGTATATTATTGTATATTATCAGAATCTCAACACTTTTTGTTCAATATGAGATTTTTTTAAATGTAAAAGCTTCTTGGCGTGGAAAAAGAATCATAACAATCTAATTTATTAATCTAATTGATTAATTCTGAATTGCTTTAGAGACAAGCGAAATACGATTAATAGAGAATCATTTCAG